GCCCTGAACGCCACACTCGTTCCCCTCGAAGACGTTCAGCAGAGATGTGGTCGCGAGATCCATCGGCATCACACGCATGTGGTTCACTGGAAGGAGAATTAGTCCATTAAAGTCCATTAATAGATCTGGCCCACATCTGGCACACATGGATTGCACACGGCCCAGATCAGGCCCACATCTGGCACACATGGATTCCACACGGCCCAGATCCGGCCCACATCTGGCACACATGGATTCCACACGGTCCAGATCCGGCCCACATCTGGCACACATGGATTCCACACGGTCCAGATCCGGCAAACATGGATTCCACACGGCCCAGATCCGGCCCACATCTGGCACACATGGATTCCACACGGCCCAGATCCGGCTCACATCTGGCACACATGGATTCCACACGGTCCAGATCCGGCACACATCTGGCACACATGGATTCCACACGGTCCAGATCCGGCAAACATGGATTCCACACGGCCCAGATCCGGCCCACATCTGGCACACATGGATTCCACACGGCCCAGATCCGGCTCACATCTGGCACACATGGATTCCACACGGTCCAGATCCGGCACACATGGATTCCACACGGCCCAGATCCGGCCCACATCTGGCACACATGGATTCCACACGGCCCAGATCCGGCCCACATCTGGCACACATGGATTCCACACGGCCCAGATCAGGCCCACATCTGGCACACATGGATTCCACACGGCCCAGATCCGGCCCCCATCTGGCACACATGGATTCCACACGGCCCGGATCCGGCCCACATCTGGCACACATGGATTCCACACGGCCCAGATCAGGCCCACATCTGGCACACATGGATTCCACACGGCCCAGATCAGGCCCACATCTGGCACACATGGATTCCACACGGCCCAGATCCGGCCCACATCTGGCACACATGGATTCCACACGGTCCAGATCCGGCACACATCTGGCACACATGGATTCCACACGGCCCAGATCCGGCACACATCTGGCACACATGGATTCCACACGGCCCAGATCCGGCCCACATCTGGCACACATGGATTCCACACGGCCCAGATCCGGCCCACATCTGGCACACATGGATTCCACACGGCCCAGATCCGGCCCACATCTGGCACACATGGATTCCACACGGTCCAGATCCGGCACACATGGATTCCACACGGCCCAGATCCGGCCCACATCTGGCACACATGGATTCCACACGGCCCAGATCCGGCCCACATCTGGCACACATGGATTCCACACGGCCCAGATCCGGCCCACATCTGGCACACATGGATTCCACACGGCCCAGATCCGGCACACATCTGGCACACATGGATTCCACACGGCCCAGATCCGGTCCACATCTGGCACACATGGATTCCACACGGCCCAGATCAGGCCCACATCTGGCACACATGGATTCCACACGGCCCAGATCCGGCACACATCTGGCACACATGGATTCCACACGGCCCAGATCCGGCCCACATCTGGCACACATGGATTCCACACGGCCCAGATCCGGCACACATGGATTCCACACGGCCCAGATCCGGCACACATGGATTCCACACGGCCCAGATCAGGCCCACATCTGGCACACATGGATTCCACACGGCCCAGATCCGGCACACATCTGGCACACATGGATTCCACACGGCCCAGATCAGGCCCACATCTGGCACACATGGATTCCACACGGCCCAGATCAGGCCCACATCTGGCACACATGGATTCCACACGGCCCAGATCCGGCCCACATCTGGCACACATGGATTCCACACGGCCCAGATCCGGCCCACATCTGGCACACATGGATTCCACACGGCCCAGATCCGGCACACATCTGGCACACATGGATTCCACACGGCCCAGATCAGGCCCACATCTGGCACACATGGATTCCACACGGCCCAGATCCGGCACACATGGATTCCACACGGCCCAGATCCGGCACACATGGATTCCACACGGCCCAGATCCGGCACACATGGATTCCACACGGCCCAGATCCGGCACACATGGATTCCACACGGCCCAGATCCGGCACACATGGATTCCACACGGCCCAGATCAGGCCCACATCTGGCACACATGGATTCCACACGGCCCAGATCCGGCACACATCTGGCACACATGGATTCCACACGGCCCAGATCAGGCCCACATCTGGCACACATGGATTCCACACGGCCCAGATCAGGCCCACATCTGGCACACATGGATTCCACACGGCCCAGATCCGGCCCACATCTGGCACACATGGATTCCACACGGCCCAGATCCGGCCCACATCTGGCACACATGGATTCCACACGGCCCAGATCAGGCCCACATCTGGCACACATGGATTCCACACGGCCCAGATCAGGCCCACATCTGGCACACATGGATTCCACACGGCCCGGATCCGGCTCACATCTGGCACACATGGATTCCACACGGCCCAGATCCGGCTCACATCTGGCACACATGGATTCCACACGGCCCAGATCCGGCACACATGGATTCCACACGGCCCGGATCAGGCCCACATCTGGCACACATGGATTCCACACGGCCCGGATCAGGCCCACATCTGGCACACATGGGTGATTGTACGTAAGGATTTGTGAATGATATTCGAAGAGTCTCACCTCTGAACACGAACTCGGTGCCGCCCATGACGCGTGTGGACCGAACCCCGCGACTGTACCGTCCGCTAGCGTAGATGCTGAACGCGGGGTGTTTGCAGACCGGGTCAGAATAGTGGTAGTATCGGCCCTCCCACGTGTTGTTGTTGTCGTGGAAGATGAAGTGTCGTGTGAGGAACAGAACCTCGGGCCGGACCTCGCAGCGCCGAGACACCCAGTGCCCGTGGAGGCTCACCGTGAGCTCGGGTCCGTGCGGGAGAACCGGCGGGTGGAAGGAGTCCGAGAGAGACACGATACCACACGAGACACAGCTGAGATCGTGGTTCTGACAACAGACCAGAGACACGGAATATGATTATCTTCAATTCAGTTCACATTTATTAAATGTTTTGTTTTACTGTATGTTACTGTTAATGGACTTCAAAAGATTAATTAACAATCATCAACAATCTGAATTTTTTTCTCTCCCCAACACTTCAATAACATCAAGAAAAATGTAACTACTTTAATCTTTCATTTTTACATTTCAAATACATACACATTCAATTCAATTCACATTTATTTGCATAGCACTTTTCACAATGATATTTAAACTGTAAATTATATATTCAAACTGCAAAACTAGTTATGCTTCTATTAATACACAATCAATAAAAAGCAACCATGCACGAGTTGATGACACTGAATACACACATGCAGAAAGCATGGCTCTGATCCACCCAGAAAACCACCAGTGAACACACACTGAACACACACACACACACACACACACACTGGACACACACACACACACACACTTGAACACACACACACTGAACACACACACACACACACACTGAACACACACTGAACACACACACACACACACACTGGACACACACACACACACACACTTGAACACACACACACTGAACACACACACACACACACACACACTGAATACATACTGGACACACACACACACACTGAACACACACACACTGGACACACACTGGACACACACTGACTGAACATACACACACTGAACACACACTGAACACACACTCTGAACACACACTGGACACACACTGGACACACACACACACACACACACTGAACACACACACACTGAACACACACTGGACACACACTGGACACACACTGGACACACACACACACTGGACACACACTGGACACACACTGACTGAACATACACACACTGAACACACTCTGAACACACACTGGACACACACTGGACACACACTGGACACACACTGGACACACACTGGACACACACTGGACACACACTGGACACACACACACACACACACTGAACACACACACACACACTGGACACACACTGGACACACACTGGACACACACACACACTGAACACACACACACAAAAACTGAACACACACACACTGAACACACACTGGACACACACACACACACTGAACACACACACTGAGTGAGCATACACACACACACACACACACACACACTGGACACACACTGACTGAACATACACACACTGACTGAACACATACACACACACACACACACACACACACACACACACACTGACTGAACACACACACACTGGACACACACTGAACACACACTGGACACACACTGACTGAACACACACACACACACACACTGGACACACACTGACTGAACACACACACACACACACACACACTGGACACACACTGACTGAACACATACACACACACTGGACACACACTGGACACACACTGACTGAACACACACACACACACACTGGACACACACTGACTGAACACATACACACACACACACACACACACACACACACACACACTGGACACACACTGACTGAACACACACACACACACACTGGACAAACTGACTGAACACACACACACACACACACACACACACTGGCTTCTACTTTTGAGACTCAGGGATGGAATTGCTAAATTAGGAGCGCTGTGTTAACGAGGGCTTTAATGGAGTGCGATGGCGCAATGCATGATGGGACTGAAACGGACGCCACATGCTTGAGGATTTTTGATCTTTCTTTACGGCTTGTTCTTCAATGCGCTCTCGTGGCTCATTTCCCAAACCATTTTTAATAGCACAAGAAAAAAGTAAACATCTTTCCATGAACAGGAATCTCTATATTACATGTTTTACGAGCTCCTGTCGGCCGAAGCCGGTTCGAGTCACACAAGCAACAACTAATGAAGCAGCCGTTTATGCACATCATACAGTGTGTGTGGAGGCAGAACGCAGCAAAAAAACACTGAACGCCACTAAATATCTTTCTTGAAATCAATATTGAGCGCAGCATATAGCAAATAAATCAATATGTGTGACCAAAGAGATTTATTCCGTGCTTTTTTAAAGTCAGAAAGTCAGCAAAAGTTTGTAATTACCACGATTTGTAATGTTTTTGATCGAGTGTTTTCTGCTCACCAAGGCTTGTGTAGAGTCCTGGAGTGGCCACTAGGGGTCGTGTTTGTATCACAAGTGTTGTGTGTCATACACATAAACACACACAAACACACACACACACACACAAACACACACAGACACACACACAAACACTGCTTATTAAAGTGACCGACTGTTATATGACAACACTAGATCTAGTGGAAAGAGGACATGGATAATAAATAATAATTACCTTTTGCAATGAATAATAATAATATTTTTTTGTAATGAATAATATTTTTTGTAATGAATAATATTACTAATAATACTTTTTTAAACTTTTTTAAAAATGTGTAAATTGCTCTTTAATGAAAAACCTGTTTTATGTTTGCTATATATTTTTTCTATAATAATAATTTAAGTGTTTGTAATCAATAATAATAGTGTTTTTTGTAATGAACAATATTTTTATAAATAATAATACATTTTGTAATTAATTATAATAATTTTTTGTAATTAATAATATTAATAATTAATTTAATCTTTTCTAGAAAATGTTAAAAAAATACATTTGTAGCTTTTTTATGAAAAAAACTTGTTTTAAGTTAGTATTTTTTTGTATGTTTACATTTAAAAAAACAAAACAAATTGTAATTAATAATATTAATAATAATAATACATTTTTGTTAATGTTTAAAAACTTATTTGTAAAATGCTTTTTAATGAAAAAAACAATATTTTATATTTGCTATTTTTTATGATGTTTACATATTTTTAGAATAATAATTCAGTTTAATTTATAATAATGTAATGAATACTATTTTTTATAATTAATAATAATAATAATACATTTGCGTACTGAAAAATAATAATATTTTTGGAAAAATAATATTAATAATTAGTTTTTAATGATGAAAAACTAATATTTTATGTTTGCTATTTTTTCAGGATATTTACATATTTTTATAAAAATAAAACAATATGTTTTTGTAATGAATAATAATGCATTTTTGTAATGAATAATACTGTTTTTTATATGTATAATTAATATTTTTTTAACTTATGTTTTTGTAAATGTGTAAATTGCTTTTATTTTCCTTTTTTTTTTTTTTACAAAAAATCCTAACATTTGATGTTGAAGCCTATAAAATGTATTTTCTTAGAAAAGGATGTTTACATATTTTTTATTTTACATTTGTTAAGATGCTTTATTAGTTGCTTTTTCCAAACCTGCTCATTACAGCAGTAAGTCCCTCCCGGCTGCCGATTACAGTGATTTACCACAGTTTTCAGTGTTTCAGCAACACATGCCCTGAATGACGAGTGAGCTGAATGTTTTCTGCGCTCACCTTGGCGTTCTGCAGCGCGGGCTGATAGCTGGAGGGTCTGTAGTAAATCCTCTGCGCGGGTTCGGTGTGAACGTCTCCCAGGTACAGCTCCTCCACCAGGTGATCCAGGTTGTGGTGCAGGTACTGTTTCTCCAGCCTCAGCAGCTGAAGCTCATGCATGGAGAAGTTCAGGCCTCGGTACCAGTCGCAGTCGCAGACGCTCTCGTTGCTCCACAGATCGTAACTCACGTGAGGCTCCCAGGATCCGGGGTCCATCGAGGAGCCTCTGCAGGTGCGGTTCAGTTTCTGACCGAGATCTTCAGCCACCGACGCCGAGTGACACACCACCTGTCGAGACAAGACACGTTTATTTCTACAGTATACTGTAAAAAAAGATCATGATTTTAACGGTAAAAGACTGCTTCAGTGAAAAGACGGTAAAACCATAAATGGTCAAATAATGCTTCAGTGAAAAGACTGTAAAACGATAAATGGTCAAATAATGCTTCAGTGAAAAGACTGTAAAACGGTAAATGGTAACAGAATGCTACAGTGAAAGGACGGTAAAACGGTAAACGGTAAAATAATGCTTCAGTGAAAAGACGGTAAAACGATAAATGGTAAAATAATGCTTCAGTGAAAGTACGGTAAAACGATAAATGGTAAAATAATGCTACAGTGAAAACACGGTAAAACGATAAATGGTCAAATAATGCTTCAGTGAAAACACGGTAAAACGGTAAACGGTAAAATAATGCTTCAGTGAAAAGACGGTAAACCGATAAATGGTAAAATAATGCTTCAGTGAAAAGACTGTAAAATGGTAAACGGTAAAATAATACTTCAGTGAAAAGACGGTAAAACGATAAATGGTCAAATAATGCTTCAGTGAAAAGACTGTAAAACGGTAAATGGTAAAATAATGCTACAGTGAAAAGACGGTAAAACGGTAAACGATAAAATAATGCTACAGTGAAAGGACGGTAAAACGGTAAACGATAAAATAATGCTTCAGTGAAAAGACTGTAAAACGGTAAATGGTAAAATAATGCTACAGTGAAAAGACGGTAAAACGGTAAACGGTAAAATAATGCTTCAGTGAAAAGACGGTAAAACGATAAATGGTAAAATAATGCTTCAGTGAAAAGACGGTAAAACGGTAAACGATAAAATAATGCTACATTGAAAGGACGGTAAAACGGTAAACGATAAAATAATGCTACAGTGAAAGGACGGTAAAACGGTAAACGATAAAATAATGCTTCAGTGAAAAGATGGTAAAACGGTAAATGGTAAAATAATGCTTCAGTGAAAAGACTGTAAAACGGTAAATGGTAAAATAATGCTACAGTGAAAGGACGGTAAAACGGTAAATGGTAAAATAATGCTTCAGTGAAAAGACGGAAAAACGATAAATGGTAAAATAATGCTTCAGTGAAAGGACGGTAAAACGGTAAATGGTAAAAGAATGCTACAGTGAAAGGACGGTAAAACGGTAAACGGTAAAAGACTGCTTCAGTGAAAAGACGGTAAAACGATAAATGGTAAAATAATGCTTCAGTGAAAAGACGGAAAAACGATAAATGGTAAAATAATGCTTCAGTGAAAGGACGGTAAAACGGTAAATGGTAAAAGAATGCTACAGTGAAAGGACGGTAAAACGGTAAACGGTAAAAGACTGCTTCAGTGAAAAGACGGTAACACGATAAATGGTAAAATAATGCTTCAGTGAAAAGACTGTAAAACGGTAAATGGTAAAATAATGCTTCAGTGAAAGGACGGTAGAACGGTAAATGGTAAAAGACTGCTTCAGTGAAAGTACGGTAAAACGGTAAATGGTAAAAGAATGCTACAGTGAAAGTACGGTAAAACGGTAAATGGTAAAATAATGCTTCAGTGAAAAGACGGTAAAACGATAAATGGTAAAATAATGCTTCAGTGAAAAGACGGTAAAACGATAAATGGTAAAATAATGCTTCAGTGAAAAGACGGTAAAACGATAAATGGTAAAATAATGCTTCAGTGAAAAGGCGGTAAAACGGTAAATGGTAAAATAATGCTTCAGTGAAAGGACGGTAAAACGGTAAATGGTAAAAGAATGCTACAGTGAAAGTACGGTAAAACGGTAAATGGTAAAATAATGCTTCAGTGAAAAGACGGTAAAACGATAAATGGTAAAATAATGCTTCAGTGAAAGGACGGTAAAACGGTAAATGGTAAAATAATGCTACAGTGAAAGGACGGTAAAATGGTAAACGGTAAAAGACTGCTTCAGTGAAAAGACGGTAACACGATAAATGGTAAAATAATGCTTCAGTGAAAAGACAGTAAAACGGTAAATGGTAAAATAATGCTTCAGTGAAAAGACTGTAAAACGGTAAATGGTAAAATAATGCTTCAGTGAAAAGACGGTAAAATGGTAAATGGTAAAATAATGCTACAGTGAAAGGACGGTAAAACGGTAAACGGTAAAATAATGCTTCAGTGAAAAGACGGTAAAACCGTAAATGGTAAAATAATGCTTCAGTGAAAAGACAGTAAAACGGTAAATGGTAAAATAATGCTTCAGTGAAAAGACGGTAAGACGGTAAAAGTTAAAATAATGCTTCAGTGAAAAGACAGTAAAACGGTAAATGGTAAAAAAATGTTTCAGTGAAAAGACGGTAAAACGGTAAATGGTAAAAGACTGCTTCAGTGAAAAGACGGTAAAACGATAAATGGTAAAATAATGCAGCTTCCAAAAAAAATCATGGTCAATATAGCCTAAAAGTTTATGTATGATAAAATCTATGTCGAATCAAATAAAATATTTCTTTCTTAAGTTACTCTTTGTAATCTCTATTTGATGCTTTTCTCATTTAACACAATAATGACTTCAAATGATCGTTTGGGGGGGAAATCTCAGCCAAATTTGATGTGCGATTAATTTGATTAATTAATCGGCACATCATGTAATTAAATAGATTAAACATTTTAACCGCTTGACAGCCCTAATATATTTGTATATATTTATAAGTCGTCAAGTCACCTTGTTGTATGTATAGACGGTGTACTGTACTGTAGAAACTGAATTGCCCTTGGGGGATTAATAAAGCTATCTGTATCTGTATCTGTATCTTCATTTATATAGCGCTTTTAACAATATAGACTGTTTCAAAGCAGCTTTACAGTGATAATAGGAGATTACAGTAGATTACAGCAGATCTAGAATAAAGTTATTGTCCAGATAAAGTTAGTTTTGATTAATTCACTTCCGTTGTAAAGATCATTAGATATTAACTTACACGACTACTTAACTTAATCGAAAACAGAAAACTTTAAATATGTTCCGGCCGATCATTTGCACGACAACAGTGTTTGGAGCTCGAGAACGCAAACCATTATAAGCATTAAGGGACCCCCCATAGGGCCCAAAACAATGACCTTGGGGGTCCCCGGTTTTTTATTAAAACTGGAATACTAGAAACATTATATATGACAAACTAACACAACCTGTGTGCGGTGGATCTGGTAGTCGGCCTCGGTCCCGCCCCGTACGATCCAGGACGCCTGTCGGAGTCGCAGTCGGCCCCGGATGAGGAGTGTGTATGTCGGGTCGGTGCAGTGGTTGTCGGCGTAGTAGAACTGGTGAGCCTGGAAGGTGTTGTTGTGAAAGAAGCGGTACGAGCGAGTGAGAAACTCTGGACCGGGCCGAACCTCACAGCTGCCATGAGGGAACAGAGAGAGTCAAGTCAGCTTTATTTATATAGCACTTTTTACAATACAGATTGTTTCAAAGCAGCTTTACAGAGATAATGTACTGTATCACAGAAAAAAAGCTGTTAAATAAAATCCCAGTATGAATACTGTAGAATTACAGTAGATTACTGGTGACTCTGCAGCCAGTATTTTACTGTAAATATGGAAAAATACAGAATTATACTGAAATATAATGTAAAATATTTTCAAAGTATAAATACTGTAAAATAACAGTAAATTGCTAGCGACTCTGCTGCCAGTATTTTACTGTAAATATGGAAAAATACAGAATTATACTGTATTTCATGTTTTCGGTAATAAACCTACTGTAAAATAACAGTAAATTGCTAGCGACTCTGCTGCCAGTATTTTACCGTTATTTTACCGAGAAATTTTTACAGTGTGTTTATTATAAGTTGTTTATCCGTGCACATTATTATTGTTTTAACTTCATGTTCCTAATAATCTTGAATCAGAATAACTTCCTCTTGCAGCATCTCTTCTCTGATGATGTGGGCGGGGCAACCTGTCAATCACACCAGATCCACCAATAGAAAACCACAACCATCCAATCAATTCCCCACGGACAAAATCAAGCCCCGCCCACATTTGTTCTTGTTTGAGAAGCCTTTCACTCAGATATACGGCACAAAGGGGAAGAAAAGACTTGCACAACTCACGCTTTACGCCGACTTTAATGTTGTAAAATTCATAAATTATGACACAAATTAAAAATTCTGGTAAATTACCGGTAACAGATCACGTGTGAATAGGACCTTTTAAAATATATCAGTAAATTGGATCCGGCAATTTACCAGTAAGGGAAGTTGTAACATTACCAGTAAATTACCGGTAATATGCGCTGTGTGAACACGGAATGAAGAGTGCCGGTATTTTGCACGTATGAGGTCATAAAATTATGACACATTTACTCAGGACTGTTTACAAATGTCTTCAAATTGGAGTGATACCAAGACTAAAGCACTTCTCCTCATGCGGGGGGATGAAGACAGCGGCGTGGTCATTTCCCATGACTGAAATCACAGAATTTACCGGTATTTTGGAGCTGATGTATAAATGGTCTCTTACCGGTAAAAAGCCAGAACCCCGTTTCTTGTGTAAACAGCATATTTCTGTATTTACCTGTAAAGTAATTTTTATGGCAATTTTACAGTAATTTACCTGTAAAGTCATTTTATGGTAATTTACCGGGTAATTTTTACTGCCAATTTTACTGCCAATTTTACTGTCAATTTTACTGTAATTTACCAGGTAATTTTTACTGCCAATTTTACGGTAGTTTACCAGGTAATTTTTACTGTCAATTTTACTGTACTTTACCAGGTAATTTTTACTGCCAATTTTACTGTAATTTACCAGGTCATTTTTACTGCCAATTTTACAGTAGTTTACCAGGTAATTTTTACTGCCAATTTTACGGTAATTTACTGGGATTGCTGTGTGAAAGGGGCTAATAGTGTCATTATTCAGATCAATTCAGTTCAAGTTTTGTTCTCATCTGATACTGTCAGTGTAGTTAAATCGATAATATAAATGAATACTAATTGTCTTTTAAAAGAAAAGAAAAGAAAAGAAAGACTAACGCTCTTACCCGGTGGACACCCAGTGGCCCTCGATGTTGGGCGGCATCTGGACCGTGATGCGGGCGCCGTTATGCAGGTGTTTCAGCATGTGGAGGCACTGTGTGTGTTTGGACGGCCAGCCGAGACTCTTCTCTAGCGCCAGACGAGGGGAACGACTGTCCGACGAGCCCTTCACACACCCTGAGGACATCAAACACAGCAACTGGTTAGATGAGTTTTAACTGGACAATGCTAAAAAATAAACATGTGATCAGTGTTATAGGCTATATGTCATGTTATAGCCAGATATGACGGCGCTACTACAACACAGATCACCACAGATGAGCATCTATTCATCAAGCCAACGCGTAAACTATCGCAAATCAAAGTGAAAGTAAGTCGCAGACGCTTAACACATGATCATCTTCATTAAAAGGAAAGAAACGAAATGATCTTACCAGTGCCATTGCCGCTCTCTCCTATTGCGGTCTTTGATTTTGAAATTAGCTGATGATCAATAAAAGCAGCTCATATCTGTTGCTTTCGGTGACGTGAACTCAATTAAAGGGATAGTTCACCCCAAAATGTAATTTCTGTCAGTAATTACTCTCCCTCATGTTGTTCCAACCCCGTAAGACTTTCGTTCATCTTCAGAACACAAATTAAGATATTTGTGATTAAATCTGAGAGCTGTCTCACTCCTCCATAGGCTTCTAAGGGATTGAAACTGGCCGGCCCAGAAAAGTTATTAAAGACATTGTTAAAATAGTCCAAGTGACTTCAGTGGCTCAACCTTAAGTTTAGACAGCGCAGCGCTTCTGGTGTACGTCACACGCAGGCTCACTATTGGCCGACGCTGGTCATGTGTGTGATGTGTGTGACGTACAACCAGAAGTTACACTACAGGGTGAACTATCCCTTTAAATCTGCATATAGTGCTGGAATTGAAGATCGGATTTATATCCGTTTTGCAAAAACACATGAAGTGACCAGGTTTAAATGGAATCGTTTTGATAAATCATAGCTATCGGACCAGGTGTAAACAGGCCCAGATACAGCCCACATCTGGTACATGTGGATACCTGAAAGCAACTTGCACTGAAATATCTTAAAACATGTCAGTAGCTGCGTTTCCATTACAGATTTGCGCAAAACTTTGCGATATTTTCTAAATGTCGATAAAAAAATTATGGTGTTTCCATTAACAGATGTTATGCGACTGAAACTTTTTAAGTCATTCCAACAATTATGGCGATGGATGTTGGTTGTATGTAGGTTGGATGTAGGTTTACGTACATCGCAACCACCGTACTATTTTTAAAGGAAGGAGACGTAGGTGTTTTATCCAAGCATTAATAGCAAGGAAAGACCCGTATACTGTGAGCGGCTGTTTCTGGGTGTTTATCCTCATCTCTGCTTCCAGCTCTTGATTGTGGCATTTCTTTGTTGTTTAGAATCCAGTATTCCTGTAATTCTTTTGTCTTTTATGAGTTTAATAAATAGCTCTGTCTCATCTTCTGTCCAAACACACCGCGCCATCTACGTCATGTGACTGTAATGCGCAAAAACTGTTTCCATTGCAGTTTTGCGAAATATTCCTTTTTTTTTCGAAAAACTTTTTTTCGATATATGGGAGTTTTGCCAAATTGACGTGTTTCCATTGGGCGTATTTTCAATTCGCAATTTCAATTTGCACAATTTGAAGGGTAATGGAAATGCGGCTACTGACATTGTGTTGCCTTAAAATGCACACCAGTTCTTTTCTAAGGCATGTCTAAAAAGGCATTATAAAAGCTACTTAAATGTTCAAATTGACCTAATCCTGGCTTAGTCTCAGCCCTGTGTGTGAAACCGGGCCAATATGTCATAATGTTTACTTTTAACGTCATAACTTGCTTTTTATATCATAATTTAGACTCCTTTAGAAGAAAATCCCGAGCTTCCCACTCGTATTTGTGGTGGCATTCATGTGCGTTCAGCTTGTAAATATGATCTTTGACCATTGGCCCATTCCTCATTTGAAAAAGCTTCTAGATCACTGATAATCTTTGGTTTTCACATTACCACTAGTTTCTTCAAACTCCACCAAATATTTTCAATGAGATGTTAATATGAAGACTGTCCAGGCCACTCAAGAACAGCCAGCGACTGATCCCTGAACCTAGATTTCCCTATCCTCATGATCCTCAAGCTTCAGTCTCTGCACTAAAGGCATCACCATCTTTGCCAAAATTGCTTTTATACTTCAAAGACTTCATGATGTCCTTCATTCAGTCAAGATTTCCACTTCCACAGCATAACAAGACAGGAGCGCCTCCATGTTTGACCATGGAGATGTTGTTCTTTCTTCTGCTCAGAAGAACATCAAATTTCCAGTTTGGTCGCATCACTCCATTAAGGCCCTTGCACACTGAGTCCGAATTTTTCGTAATCGTTTTTCCGTATTCGTGATTCGGTGGCTCTGAATTGTCAAAACACCATTCAAACTGCTTGAGCTACAGATGCGAAAAACGCAGAAAATCTAATCTGATCTGATTTTTTTTATGATGGACGAAAGTTTTGGAGGCGGTGTGCAAGCGTGAACGACATAACATGAGGTCGTATTTATTTTTTAACGTGCGAATATTTCGGACGCGAATTTCGGACTCAGGGCCCTATTTTAACGATCTGAAACACAAGTATCAAGCGCGAAGCGCAAGTAACTTTGTGGGCGGGTCTTGGGCGCTGTTGCTATTTTACCGGCGGGATAAATGCCTCTTACGCCGACACAAGTTTAAAAGGGGTTGGTCTGAAATAGCTTCATTATTCATAGGTGTGGTTTGGGCGTAACGTGAAATAAACCAATCAGAGCGTCATCCAACATACCCTTTAAGAGCAGGTGCGCATGTTGCATGGCGGATTGTTATTATTATGGCGGATTTACCAGGCGCGTGCCAGGAGCGTTCACAGCCGAGGAGACCGACGCTCTTGTCAGGACCATGAAAGACAGAGAAGTGGCGTTGTATGGGGATGGGAGAAACCCACCCAAATCAGCGTCGCTTAAACAGGCGTGGGAGAAAAAAACTAATTTTTTTTTACATCTTCATGGATTGATTTTTTCCCCTCATGTGTTAATATTTTTCCTTGTTATAATGTATGATTTGCACAAATAAAAACTGCTGCATCTGTGTTGATGAGAGAATCAAAGTGTATGCGCGTTGTGCACCCGCTACATTATGGCCAAGCATGCGCGCTTAAAATAGCATAATGAACAACGCGCAACGCGCCACTGACTTTAGACTAGGTTTTTTGTGGTCAGTGGCGGAATTGTTTTCTGGAACTGCAAAATAG